GTATTTTTATAATTTTATATTGTTTGGTTTTTGTTTGGGAGGGTTCATTATTTGCCTATAATTGGGACCTTATCAGGTGCTACCACTTTGGGTCAGAGTGGATCGTAGAACAACAACAATTAAGAAGCCTTGCTGCCGGGTGTAGTTTATCGTCATTCGCAGGACTATCAATGTAAGTGTCACAATTTAGCAAGTACAGAAATTTAACTATTTCAGAAATCTTTCAAAAACAGTAAAAAATTGACACAGTTGTATATACTGTACCTAAGAACACTAATGGGTATGTCCCAACCCTCATAAGTACGTTAAACACTATTGTAAGTGGAGGTAATATGTTGTCTATGTAGTCCAACACTTGCAGTGGTTTACCTACTTCACGTCGCTGGCGAGTATTGTCTTTTGTTGATGTTATAAAGGTTACCATTTCATTTCCAACCTCCGTTTTGGTTATTCCTCCTTCAGTAACCCTTCCTAGGTTACAATACACAGAAATCCGAAGACGTCTTCCAAAAGTTAAACAAAGAAACAGGAAAATTTAGAACAAAGAAAAGAGTGTCGGACTGCTATGTAGTATCAGTTTTCTTATATTGCAGTGAATGCTGGAGAATTTTCACACAGATGATGAGAAAACTTAAGGCATCAGAGATATGGTTCTACAGAAGGATACTGAGAATACCAAGGACGAAGTCTCTTAGTAACGTTGGAATTTTAAGGAAAATAGAAACGTAAAGCATATTTGTGCTTAGAGTCAGAAAAAGATAGTTGAAAACTCTGACACACATAATGAGGAAAGTGGGCTCGGTGAATTTGAAACTCACAGGGCATACTGAAGTCAAGAAGGGTAGGGGAAGCATTGAGTAACCTACCTGTTGTATCTAGTGTTTCAAGATAACAAAAGGAAATAAATAAGGAAGGCAAACTCTTAGTTAAGTAATGAAATAGAAGGTTTACTAGACGAAGGTACACTTAGCAATGGACCGAATGCTAAGTAATTTACCCGAGTTCCCCAAAGAGAGGGATGTGGCACAAAGCCGGTTTAATGAGGGTTTTTCCGAGCCCATAGGCTCAGGCAAAAATTCGCCGTAGACCACGTAATAATGGACTCGAGTTTGTCTACCTCCCCAGACGAGACTCTGCCCTTCGGTATAGCCTCGGCTTAGTTCGACAAGCATTAAGAGCTTAGCGCGTGGCTAACATCTAATGCTAACACAACTCAAACCCGCTTAACTCCGCTTATTTACATAAACGGACGATTCCATTCATTTATGTCCTATATGACACTATTTAATGAGCCTGTGTAAATGAATGACAGAACAAGGAGAAGGGATAGTAAAAAAAAAAAAAATTAAAAAATCTTGCTATGAGCTGCAAAGGACAGGAAGTTGTGGAGAACCATGATCGCCTACGACCTGAACGGACATGGTACATTATTTACGTTTAATGCTCACTGTAAAATTCGGTATTAATTTATAAAAGATGGATACTAAGGATGCAAAGAAAATTAAAGCTACAAAGGATACGAAGTTTTGGAAAGACATGATTGAACAGGTCCGGAAGGGACAAAACATAGAAAAGAAGAAGTATAAATCAAAAACAAAATCTGTTGTGTTTTTCATCCAATAAAAAATTGATGTTTTTCATTTAATAAAAACTAGCAGTAGAGCCCGGTGTTGCCCGGGGATGTAACAGTAAGAGATAGATCATGTATCGACCATCATAAAGACTGAAAAATAAAATTGACAAAGATTATTGTTTAAGGTTGACGGACACGCATGTCTTAATTAGTTTTGTTTTTTGTTTTTTTTACGAATTGGTCAAACCCAAACTCAAACAAAAACATTCTTTTCACTCGTTATGAGCCTACCGATTGAATAGAATTTTATTATAAACAATTGTGTTGTAAATGGAATTTTTAAAGCATTCTGAATGTAAAAATAAAGAAAAAAGTGTGCAAGACAATAAGAAAGTGAAGTTTTGTTGAAATCGGTTGAAAAATGCATGAAATCCGATCCCATATATAAACGAACACACACACACACACACACACACACACACACACACACACACACACACACACACAACCAACCTGGGTTTTATAATAAGTATAACTCGATAACTCGATATTAATAAGTATAACTCGATATGAGTTGTCCCCTTTTCATTAATGCCTCTTAATCGTGTTTTCAAATTGATTTCGTGCAAAAACAATTGTGTTTTTCCCATTTTTGGCGCTGTCAGAACCACCACAAGGTAATTTTACGTAGTCCTGTGAAGTTTTGTTGAAATCGGTTAAAAAATGTAGGAAATCCGATCCAATATATAAACGTACAGACACACAAACACACACACACACACAATCTGCGTTTTATAATAAGTAAGATGATTTTTTTCATCTAATAAAAATATGATAATTTTCTTTTTCTTTTCAATTTTTCAACTTTTTATTTATTACGTTTGAGATAAATTGCTTGATTATTATTAATTTTTTTTCTTGCTTGACTACTTTTTCAGTTTGATGTCAAATAAAAAAAAGTCTTTTAAACAAGGCAGTCGATGAAAACAAGAAGGACTAAACATAAATTGTAAGAAGGTGGCATGTGTGGTTGTCAGCTAAAAAGACAACCCAAAGATCGAGTTACGTCAAAATCAAACAAGGGCAAAAACTTAACTATCTGGTTAATGTCGTAACGGATGGCGGATCGTGTAACATAAAAAAAACACGAAGGCGTATAGAAAATGATCTGTTTTCAGGAACTGGCCAAAGTATTAAATAATTGAAAAATATCTTGAGAACCAAAGAAAGTAGTACGGAATTGCTTTATAACATGTCATCTCTTACATGGCAGTGAATGATGGACAATTTTGTCGCAGATATGAAGAGATTTATAGCGACAGATATGCGATTGTTGAGAATACCATAGACAGAGCATGTGAGCCATGAAGAAGTTATAAGGGAACAAATACTATGAGGAAACTTACTAGCAGTCAGAATCAGGAAAAATTCTTTGAAATACACGCAAAAAAAAAGATGTATGCAATATCTAATCTCCTCTATGCTGGTGAATGTTAGACTATCTCCTTATACATGAAGAAGAGAGGTGAAACGATAGAGATGTTGTTCTACAGTCGATTATTAGGAATAACATGGGCACATCATGCGTGCAATGAAGAAGTTTCAAGGGGAACAAACACTACAAGGGAACTTGCTGGCATCCAATGGCAGGAGATTTTCTTTAAAAACACGAGTGAATGTTGAACAATTTCCTTAAAACTGAAGAAACGCACGGTCGTTTTATCCCTGTGAAGGGTCGTTTTATCCTCGTGAAGGGTGAAACTCCCTAAAAGTGGGGAACACCTGTTTGACGGACCTCTGTCTAATTTTATGACCCGTGCAAATCAGACCTATGTCTACCTGTATATTGTTTATCAAAATAAGAGGTTTCAGCATTAAATATCCGGGAAAAGATTGATATGCCGTAAAATAAAACAAACCAAACCAAACGGACGAAGGAGACTTGAAGCGACAAAGCTTTAATTCTACAGACGAACGCCGAATAGACCTCAGATAGATCATGCGAACAATGAGGAAGTTTTGAGGAGAATAGACATAGGGGAGCCGGCTAAGGGAATTTTCTTTAGAAACAGAGAAAAGAGTACTGGATTTCTATGTAATGATTAATCTAGATGGCAGTGAATGCTGACGAATTTTACCCCCCCTCCACCCCAAAGAAAACATAGGGAAGGGTATATATATATATATATATATATATATATATATATATATAAGGAGTAGATTTTGTTTACGACTAGATTTAGAATCCCGAGACTTTATACATGCTTTGGATACTCAATCAGTTATGTGCCATGCGTAATACACGCTTAGGCGATCATGTATCTTTCGATACATGACTGACGAGGCAGATTTTTTTTTTCCGCAGTAGGCTGCCATTTCTTTCTGTGGTAGACGAGTTGCCATCCAAGTATATAGAAGCTGGTTTGTCCTGTTATTTACCAATAAATGGAGGGAGAAGAAAGGGATACATGCCTTTTCCAAGGGTATTAGTACGTAAGCGAATGTAATGGATTCGCCTGGAATTCGAACTCGGCTTCGCCTTGGGTACTACTATTATTAAATCTGTTGAAATTAAAGAATACGCATTACTTTTTCACCGGCCCTCATATCATGATTAAGAAGGAGGGAGACTATATTGCGGATCTTGTTTGGAATTCTGACAATTTTCTGTTTATTTTGGTATGCAACTTTTAAAAATTCTATTATTAAATCTGTTGAAATTAAAGAAAAAGGGCATTACTTTTTTACCTAGACTCGCATTTTCGTTAATGCCAGACCCCCTTAAGGTGCGGAGGCGTTGCTGACTCTTTGTAGATTCATTTTATTGTCTGTAAATTGGCATGATATATTGGGAAACACAGTGAAGTGGTTTCCTGTTGTTTTTGCCATTGTTTTGAACTGAGACTTTTCTTTCAGTACAACACAAGAGGGCCCAATTTTCAACACGAGGGCCCAATTTTCCTTGCTACTTAACACATAGCTGGTGGGGTGGCGAGAAGAAATGGATTCTTGGTTACTAAGTCGAAGTAAAATTTGATAAAAATATTTTCTACTATATAAAACAATTTGTTACAATTGGAGATGTGGTTCTAACGTCGAATGTTCATGACAGCATGGTGTATGTGAGAAACGGTTATGGTTCAAGAAGAAGAAGAATTGCAATGAAATCGTTGCTAACACTCAAAAAGAGACAACTAAAATGCTTGAGAAAAGAAGACTTGGAGAAATTAACACTCACATTTACGCATCGAAGGAAAAGAAAAGCAGAAAAGGAAGCAACGAGTTTGTTCTGATGAAGATGATTACTCGTTGTTAAATTCACACACACACACACACACACACACACACACACACACACACACACACACACACACACACACGCGCGCGCGCACATTCCCCCTCTCCTTCTCCCTGTTCTTTCAGGGCTTACGGCTATATAACGTTGAAACACCGGTTCCTGTACGATCACCGAAGTTAAGCAATGTCGAGCCTAGTCAGTACCTAGATGGGTGACCGCTTAGGATTGCCATGTGCTGTAAACTTGAATGTACGGGTAGTGTAAGGGATAATTGTTGGAATTTTTGGGTACACTGATGTACTAGTGAGCCAGCCAAAATGAGCTGACCCATTTTAGAGTTCACCAATAGAAGGGTTAACCAATCAGAAGGCTCAAAATATTCAATGCGACGTGTATAAAGGCGGCCATATTTTTTTCCGAATATTCACTGACAGCCTTTGATAACTCGGACGAGACTCCGCCGGAGGGCAGAGTCTCGTTCGGCGAGGTTGACTGCCCCTGAACCCGTTTATACGCGTTCGAATAGGGAATATCTTTGGCCGAGCCTACGGGCTCGGAGATCCCACATTAATCCCGGTCTTGTGCCACATGTAACCCTCGTGGGGGTGGGGTGGCTAAATATCACTGCCAGCCTTTGATATCGAAGACTGAAGAATTACGGAACAGCTGCTGGTGGTATTGGCGATATAGTCAGATTCAATGTTTGACTCGTGAGTGTTAATCTTGTTTTATTGAACAGATTACGTACTGCGCTGTATTCTATATTCATAGACTATGGTGAACATGGTTAACAATAATAACTCGGAATTATCAATCGGAGAGTCGAGTTTCAATTCCTGCTTGGGTTCGTTATAGTTACATACGCGCAAATATCCTTGGGAAAGGGATGAATCCACCTCTTCTTCCCCCAGCTATGGGTTAATTAATGAGACTTGTAACACTCAACCATTATTATCTAAAAAAAAAAATTCTCATAATCTAAAAATATTTTCTGGCTTTAAATAACCTGCAAAGGATTGATAAAGCGCAGAAAACGAATCATTCGATATTCTTTCAGGACGTGGCTGATTATGGTTCTCCACGACTTCTTGTCTTTTGTGGTTTTCAGCAGTACTTTCTACTCTTTTGTTTTTGCATCCAACTTTGTAAGATCAAAAGAGGAGAATGTATTTCTGAGAACCACAAAAGAGGAGGAAGTTGTGGAGAGTCATGATCACTCACGTTCTGACAGAACAGAGAGATAGAGAGATAGATAGTAAACAAGGCAGAGGGTGCGTATGTGTGTCAAAAAAGCTACGGCTCAAATGTGAGTGATTGAAACATACTGTTTTTTCATTTTCGGGTATTTATTTCCATTAGTTATTCCGTTTGGAACCCTCCCTACTTAGAATACTGGATCCGCCCCTGCCTATGTAATTTATGATTTTGTTTCTGTATTAGTTCAACAGTGAACATAATACGACTTATTCGAGCCATAACTTCAAAACCATTAAAATAACAACACAAGATAAATCTAAACCAGTGATTCCCAAACCAAATGGTCGTTATTTAAACGAGAGACGCAAAGACACTCCTGAGAGTTACGGGAGGGCTTAGGAAAAAAATAAAAAAAAAATAAAAAAAATTATCTTAAATATAAAAAAAATATTGAAATACATTCCCATTACAATTTTGGAATATAAAACCTTATTGGAATCTGGAACAGGAAAATAGTTTTATATAATAAGGCATTTATAAATGTGAGAAAATTCCTGAACCATTCCACTTTATCCCGGTCTAGTACTTCAAAACAGTTGAAGTCTGACTCAATCGCAGTATCATTTCGTACCCACTTCTGGCATTGCGGGTTTGTATGACTGACGTAATGTGATACACTCGTGATATTTTTTAATACTGTGTTCCTTCAAGACATGACTCTCCACAGATTTATTCATTTTTTTTCTTTTATCTCTCAGGGCCCACGAAGGAGATACTCAGTAAGTAGAAGTTTTATCATGACGAGGTGAAGAAAGCAACTTGAACATGGTTTTAAAAATCATCCAAAAAATTCTAAGGGAAGGGTATACATATAATATAAAGAGTAGGTTTTGTTTACGACTAGAATTGGAATCCCGAGACTTTTGGTATGCTTGGGGTACTACTATTATTAAATCTGTTGAAATTAAAGAATACGTATTACTTTTTCACCGACCCTTATATCATGTTGCGTATCAGATTTAGAATTCTGGCAATTTTCTGTTTATTTTGGTATGAAATTTAAAAAAAAATTCTATTATTAAATCTGTTGAAATTAAAGAAAAAAAGGCATTACTTTTTGATCTATACTCATATTTTCATTAATACCAGACCCCCTTAAGGTGCGTAGGCGTTGCTGACTCTTCGTAGATTTATTTTATTTAGTATCTGTAAATTGGCATGGTGTCTTGAGAAACACAGTGAAGTGGTTTCCTGTTGTCTTTGCAAATTGTTTTAAACTGAGAGTTTTCTTTCAGTCACAACAAGACGGCCCAATTTTCAACACAAGAGGGCCCAATTTTCAACACAAGAGGGCCCAATTTTCCTTGCTATTTAACACATAGCTGGTGGGGGAGCGAGAAGAAATGGATTCTTGGTTACTAAGTCGAAGTAAAATTTGATAAAAATATTTTCTACTATATAAAACTTATTGGTTGCGCAGCCTGATCTCCTCTATTTCTATTTGTAAAAAACAACATGTATTTCTTACATACAAAAAAGAAAAGTGTGGAAATAAAAAAGATAATCTTAGATTACTCATTCTTGATAAATTGGCGAATAGCTAAATTTTGTCTGTGTGTCTCCACATTAGTTGAATAAAACAGCCCGTATCGTTACATAATTAATTTCCTAACAGGTTATATATATTAATTACGAATTACTTTTATAGAATATCCGATAAAATTTAATATATGCAAAAAATATCAAAAACATACTGTAATAAATGTTTTATCTGTATTCTCTATTTTCTATTCAATTTTTTAAAATTGCCATATATATATATAAAATGATTTATTGTGTTTGTATCGCCTCATCAAAATTCAGCCATAAGATAGTAGAAAAGTATCAGTTTGCTTTCAAGAAAACGTAAAATAAATATAATCTTGTCTTCAAAAATAAATTTTTAAGAAGCGGAAATTAATAAAATTTAAAAAAAAAATTATATAAAAGTTTTATCGAAACTCCAGCGTTCGTAATAGTCATTGTTATCATCTGCCATTATGACAAATTAGTCAAAATTCAGCCGTAAGTTAGCAGAAAAAAAAATTCAGTGTGTTTACATTGAAAGAAAACATAAAATAAATGTAACGTCTTAGAAGAGGACGGAAAATACATAATTTTAAACAATGCTAACGATCGTATTTCCTGCAGCGTTCGTAATTAGTATCGCCTGCCATTTCACATTGCTACAGACTGGTCGAGCAGATTAAAAAAAAAACAAAAAAAAACTTGTAAATAAATCAAAATAATCCGTTTAATTAGAGTTTCGTAAAATTTGTACCGAATTATTTAAACAGTTTTTAAGTTTACTGAATTAATTATTATTATTATTATTATTATTATTATTATTAACTACTACTACTACTATTAATAATAATAATAATTGAAGCATTCATTATTTTGAACTGATATTAATAAAAACATCATTACATAAATATTTAAATAAGCGTAATTTAAGTTGGATTTAACTGAAAAGGTTTAAATAAAATAAACAGCATTTTCGGCGAATAAAAGATTATTTCAGTAAGTGGTTTATGGATGCATCACGTTGAAACACCAGTTCTCGTACGATCACCCAAGTTAAGCAACGTTGAATCTGATCGGTACCAAAATGGGTGATCGTTTGGGTGATGCAATGAATAGTGGTTCAGAATTGTTAATCGGAGAGCCGAGTTCCAATTCATGTTGGGTTCATTATATTCAATTAGCCTCAAATCCCAATGGGAAATGCATAAATCCACCGCTTCAAGCCCTCAGTTATGAGGTAAGTAATAAGACTTGTATCACCTAACCATTATTATCTCCAAAAGAAAAATAATTTTTACGACCGAAAAATATTTTCTGGCTTTAAATAACCAGCAAAGTGTTGATAAGCCGTAGAAAACGAATCAATTAATATTTCATTGAGTTAAACTAATTTATTGTTGAATTAATTTTGATTATTATAATTAAAAACATTACAAAATAATTTAAATACGTAAATATAGTCTGTTGCCGAATTACTAATTATAATTAATGAAAACGTTAACATAATTGCTATTGTAGCTTTTCTCTGTCAGCAGGAAGGTTATTCGACTAGTGAAAGAAAAAAACAAAAAACAAAAAAAAAACAACTAACGTACTTGAAAAATTACTCACATATGGGCGTCATATTTTTGACGGTGCGTAAACACTATTTTTATTGAATAAAAGTAAATGAAGAAACACTATTTCCGCCCTAAAAGTCACCAAACCCAAAAAAATAAAGTGTTCAGGGTCACGTCTTAAAGATTGAGAAACCCCGATCTAATCGGTCTCTCGCTGTTACCTGCCTGCATTTATACAGTCGAATAAACACTATTCAGATTTCCAGTTATATAACATTGACTCAGTTTAGATTCGTCACGACACAGGATCGAATGACGAGCAATAGGTTAAGAATATTTAAGGGAAGAATGTCTGCCCAATTACCTTGAAAAATTAACACTCGAAATTCAAACTCTTACTTGGGCTTAAACACCGACTGTTAACACCAGCAAAACACGGTATTTACTTGACCTCCACAAGGTCAGGTTGTGACACAAGTTTGGTTTAATGTGGGGAGCCCGAGCACGTGCACCCGGGCAAGGAACAAAAATTCCCCGAGCCCCCGCAACAGTGGCTTGCGCTGGCCTCGGTGTAAGCACTGATCCCTCCCTCTGGTGCAATGGGAGGGCGCGGCCTCGGGCAGCTGTTCCCCAGGGCTGGGCACCTCTTCAGTATAATTTTCCTCAGTTTCGACTCTGTCCTTTGACGGAGTCGCTCCTGAGCGCACTCTGCCCAAAGACAGAGACGTGACAAACACCGGCCAAACACACGAAGCTGCGTTAGTCATCATGCAGACGTAATATTAATTAACTAGAAATACCCATTAAAACGTCATAGTTTTGCTATTTGAATTTTCTGATGAATCTTAATTCTTAAGTTAGTAATTGAATAAGCTCATGGCGAATTCTGCGACAATACAATATCCGTAGAAATTTATTT